TTGAATCTGTCGCCAGAAAGGTTGGATTTTGGGGCAATCCCACAAGATGTGCAAATGCGTACCCCGCCCTCCACAGTCTCGCCAGCATAAAGGTGACACCGAAGGATAAATACGGTGCAAAGTGTGCGGGACATGGTACCATCGGGTGAGTAGCTTATAGTTTGTCTCTTGGACTCTGGAATCGATGGAGGACGAATGAGTGAATCGGAGAATATTTGAAGTTTCAAACTCCGTGAATCTTACCCCCATGTCCCTTTCCCACTCTGCTAGGAAGTGTAGCGACCCCTGGGAGTCCAATTGTAGCAGCAGCTTATAGAGCAGTGAGAGGGACCTGGAAGGTGGGCTCGAGGCCCTACATAGACTCTCAAAAGGTGTGAGAGAGGTTAGCGGGCGAACTGGGGTTTTCAGAGAATTATGAAAGTGTGTCAGTTGCCTGTGTCTCCAAAAATCAAATGGGAACGAGCCCCATCGCTGGCGCATCTTTGGCATTAGTTTATTGCCTACCAGGTATTTTGAAATACCCACTACACCGTCTGCCGCCCAACAGTTCAGGAAACGCAAGTCTTCACCCGGCGGGAACCACAGGTATCCCCCGACAGGAGCTAGAGGTGACATATCCGGCGCCAAGGTGCCATGTGTATTAATAACATCCCATAGGCGAAGTGTGTGGGCAGTAAGTGGGGAGGTGGTTGGAGAGAGACCTCTATGCTCCGGTTTTAACCAGGGGGCGTGCGCTAGGTTTCTCCCTGCCATACCCTTCTCCAGAGCTACCCATAGTTTGTCCCTCACTTGAAAATGCCAGTCTAAAATCCGCTGGAGGACTGCACCCTTATAATATAGTTGTAAGTCCGGGAGGCCCAAACCTCCCGACTTTTTAGTTCTTTTCAGAATGGCAAATGCAAGTCTGGATCTTCGCTGTCTCCAGACAAAGCCTAAAAAAAGGCTCCGCAGTTGACGAAAGAATAGAGGGGGCACCGCCACGTGGAGCATCTGGAAGAGGAACAGCAGTCTAGGAAGGATCGACATTTTCAGTATGTTCACTCTGCCTATCCAGGAGAAAGCATCTCTATCCCAGGATTTGAGGTCTCCCTCCACTCGTTTGAGGAGGGGCGGGTAATTTAGGGTGTATAGATTAGCTGGCTGGGATGGCAATTGGATTCCTAGATATTTAATACTAGTGGCCGTCCAGACAAAAGGGAAGTTGGCTTTCAATTGGAGGGCTTGAGTGGGGGGCACTGTTACTGGGAGAATTTCAGATTTGGATGAGTTGATTTTGAAATTAGAGAGGATGCCATAATCTTTGAATTCTTTAAGAATGTTGGGAAGGAAAATGGTCGGTCGGTCATCGGCGTATGCCGCGAGTTTGTGCTCCGCACTCCCCACCGTGACAAGGGTGAAAGTGGACATCCCTGCCTGGTCCCGCTCCGAATCGGAAATGGCGACGACAGAGCTCCGTTCACCTTCACCCGGGCCGTAAGCGAGGCATAAAGCGTGGGGATCCAGGCCATGAAGTTGCGTCCCAACCCCCGAAGTCGCAGCGTCTCCTCCATAAACGCCCAGTCCACCCTGTCAAACGCCTTCTCTGCGTCTACCGAGAGGAACAAGCAGGAAGGCGGAGGTGACCTATTGTGGGACCAGTGTAAGATATGAACGGCTCTGAGAGCATTGTCTCTGGCCTCCCTCCCCATGATAAAGCCCGTTTGATCAGGGTGGACTAGGGTCGGTAGGAGAAATTTCAGTCTGTTGGCTAGTATTTTTGAGAAGATTTTAACGTCAACATTGATCAATGAAATCGGGAGCGATAGCTTTGAGGCTGCATGGGATCTTTCCCCTCCTTTGGGATGACCGAGATGTGGGCCATCAACGCCTCTCGGGGAATGCTTCCACCGTTTGCTAGAGCGTTGAGGTATCTACACAGGTGATCTCCCAGGATGGGGAAAAAAGTGTGATAGTAGGCTCTTGTATATCCATCAGGTCCTGGGCTTTTACCCCAGTTCTTCTTTTAGCTGAATAGCCAGGACATCAGTCACCTCTCAACTTACAATACACTTCAGAAAGGCTACTTATAATTGAGATAAGTAGTCCCCCAAAATTCCACTCTGACATTATTTACGGGAATTTGTATGATCTCCCAGTATTCCAAAACATTTTCTCTCAAACATATACAGGTTATAACTTGTGTTATGCATAATCTGTATTGAAAATCCTCTAGACTGTAGACTCTACATAGTCAGGGACTGATGTAATGTTCTCTGTGAAAGAAAATGCAGTAGAAAGTTGTATCAGTATAGGAAAGCTAAACCAAAAGAAAGTGCATGCATAGATAGGTATGATACAAAAAAGATGCCAGATCATATTAAAATACGTTCAGCAGGTGTCACAACATGAAAAAGAACACTATTGTAAAACAAGCTTTTATGTTTGTCTGTTATATAGTAAACTTGGATACGTGTCTTCAGTGCCGGATTTCCTCTCTCTGCTGCCCTAAGGCCAGGTTCCTCTATGTGGCCCCCTTCCCGCCAACCCCCCAATGGAGAATGGCAGCCAGATAACGAAGGCAGCAGGGTTAGTTTTAATTAGTTTTATTTTTTTTCTTACTTTATTACATTTTTATTTATCTTATTATCTTTTATTTAATTTTTGTATCTTATTATTTTT